ATACCTTCCTACCCAGAAAATCCGTCTGCCAGCACAGAGCTGGCCCTTGGCAGCCGCAGCGCGGCGCTGCCCTCACAGTCCTGCCCCAGCAGCAAGGAACCCGGGGCTCCCGCCAGCCACTGGGCTGGCCTCGCTTCTTGCCCTTCGCGACTCTCAGGCTGCTGACACGTAATTAATATCTACCTATTTCATAACTAAGTGAGGAGTATCTCAAAGTTATTCAGTTACTAGACCAACTACCAGAAAAAGGAAAAAAAAAAATCAAACCATTAATTAACTCTGCTACCATTTGCTTAATGCTATCATTAAGCAAATGGTAGCAGTTATTTGTTTTCTCTAAGAATTGTGGGTGCCATCTAATTGATTACATGAAAATGGAATATGAGGAAGAAACTGTCAAGCAACATGAAAACTCTGACTATAGTGGCAACATCCTTTTCTAAAAATTTGTTTCTATGCTGTACCACTTTCTATACAAAATTACACGAAAGAGTTAACAGACCTTGCTATTTATATTTGGCAAAATAAACATCGGTAAGACACCAATAATGCACAGGTGTGTGTGTATATATATAAAATATATGCCTATTCACAATATATATGTTTTAATCATGAATTCTAACACTAACAAGATGACTTAAATAAAATCAAATGAAAAAAATGGCATTATTAGAAACTAAATATAGTATGTTGTGACGTAAGATAAACCACAGTCTGTACTGGGAATAAAGATGATGTCCTGTGGAATAAGTGATTTATAGGGTTCTACCAATTAATTTTTATTATGATAATATTATTTGATGGTGATAGCCTAGTGCTCTGAGTACACTGTTTTGTTGGCTGGAAAGCTAAGTAAGTTGTAAGAACGAACTAATTTTTTTACCAGGATAGATGATCATGTAACTTTACTGGCATCAGTGTTGATCTATGCTTCATTATGCTAAAATGCACAAGGTACTTCTTGGTTCTCACTCCTTCAGAACGGAAAGGGTGCTGCGTTTTTTTTAGGAGAGTTAGTAAGAGAGACCAGAAATTGTGATGGTGAGCAGAGGTCCTTCTCTCCTTCTGGTGATACAGGCTAGACAGCTAGTATTAGCGTTTAAGATTAAATTTTCAACAGTGCATAGGGTTATACTTTTAAGTGCCTAGCATCCACATTTGGGTCAGATTTTTCAAGATGCCAGCAGCCTATTAGGCAAATACACACAGATCAGATTTTCGAATGTGTTTTGACACTTTAGTTCCTCGTGCTAGGTCTTAGATGGGAACTGAGCTTCTCTTAAAAAATCTGGTCTCCGTTGTGACTTCTAAGCTCTTCTGCAACATTTGGCCTGAAGGCACAATTTAGTCCTTACTGATCAGGCAATTTCAAAAAACTGCTCACCTGCAACTCCTTGTTTAGTATTACCTAATCGATACATGACGGCATTTTCTAATACAAAAGAGATGAGCAGGTCATCTTTTCTGTCTCGGAGTGTTCACATCTGCGCACTTGTGTACACTTCAAACATATTTTGTAAATATTTCACCTGCCCTTACACACGAGGAAGTAATTGGTACATGCACGTTTTGGAAACCATTCAAAGCTGATTTTCTGCGCGGGTAACCAAAGTGCTCATTGGTGCCAGCTTGCTTCATTTGGGCGGTGTGAGGTGGAACGCAGGGCAGTTGCATCCTGCAGCTTCAAGGTACCTGCTTGCTTTTGTGTAGAGAAGGTAGAGAAAGAAGGAAGGAACTCATGATACTGACAGGACAAGGGCAATGCCGTGGTGAGAGGGACTCCTCTGGAGTTCAAGCATAAAGGCTGTATTAATTACTATCGAATCAATGCAGATGTTTAAAACTAACCTGATAAATTCCACATTAAGCACTACATATTAAATGTAACTGTTGAAATCATGCCTGTATAGACTTTAACGTACACAGGACGGAAATGTTTACACATTCCAGTATTGTGCTCTTATGTATGTATTTAAACTTTTCAGATTCTATATGCACTGCATTTGAAATCAGTGACAATCTACAAGGTTGATACATCTTGCATTTCTGGAAATTTATACAAGTGGCGTGGCATTGGCCAACCCTGCAAAGGGAACATTTGATAATGGCTGTCAGAGAATCTCCCTGAAAAACAGCTCCTCCTCTCCACCTTTTAGAAAGCAAATGGCAGGATTACCTCAGATCGAGTACTGCACACGTAGACTCTGCAGGCCTAAAGAAAAGTTAGCAGTTGGGGTGTTTTAATGCTCACGATACTGAGATTTGTTGGCCAAAACAAAGCTTGTGGTATTTATTCAAACAAAATACAATCAATATGAAGACAATCTACAATTTCTTTTTCCTGCTTCTATACACCAGCAGGGAAAGTACTATGATACTGTATCATAAATCACTAACACAGATACAGAGCTATAAAACCATCTTTGTCTACTGTTTACAGTAGAGTCAACCTGGGAATCTTTCTAGACAGTGCGGATATGGCAAAAATGTCTGAAACGCCTAAGATTTCTTATTATACTTCATCCATTCTCTCTTCAGCTATAAAAAGGCTAATATATTTTAAACCAGAAAAATAAATAGTGGAAGTTTTGGAAGAAAGCAGATGTGGCAACAAAATATATTAAAATGTGAATCGCTAACTGATTGATTTTATAATGGTATTTTATTTCTTTTTTTTTGGCTATAGCTGCATTGACATTAATCAAGTTCATAGTTATGTGAAAATAAGCTATTTCTGGTTTTGTCTATAAAAAAAGACAAAAACTTTAATTTAATTTTAATTTTACTTTAATTTTAGCAGCATTTGTAAATTAAAACACTAGGGGTCTGATATTCTTCGATGGGCTGTACTTCTGCGGGTGCTATTTTACACCTACAGGTTAGTGTAGCTATAGCTGACAGAAGTTTGGTATCTGCTGCATGCACAGCCTGATCCTGAAATGTTGAATGTCAGTAGTCAAAACGTTCTGTTGAAAGGGAATTCAAAGGGATGGGCTGCTTTTTAACTCCTCCTTGCAACAGTTTGATTTTAAAACAGCAATTTTATTTCTTTTAAGATGAGGGAAGGAAATGTTTTCACCTAAATGTGCCCTGCATTTTAGTATGCTGAATTGTACTTCTCTCTGACATTATCCTGGTTGTAATTCCCAGCAAAGTTAATGAAGCTACAGATGATTTTGACACACTCTATGTACAATGTATGACTAAACTTTTTTTGGCAGCAGTATCTTTTATTATTACTTAAACACTGCATGGTTTTTTTGGGGAAGAAAAAAAAAAAAAGCTGTGAGTGGTATTTAACACCATATCCCTATATTCTAGCCCTTTACCCTTTTTACCTATATCTGAACTATAGAGATATTTCTAATTCAGTCTTTGAATTACAGAATCAAAATAAATACAAAAAAACTTCTCAATTTAGACTCCTAATTCCAGATAACTTTCTTGCTCTGTTCATTAAGCATGACCAATTTTGAGAAAAATCCTTCTTGTAGCTGCAAAGCATCCTCAAGTGTCTATTTACAATGGTCAAAAATTATAAATGAATCTTCAGTTAAAAATAATTTTGATCTTTGAGAGGCATTTCAGCATTTTGTTTATTCTGGAAATAAGATAATATTCTAAAACTAAGGGCAGAGTTAGTGGGGTGGAAAATATTTTACAAAGAAACTAATAAGCATTTTGGCTTTGCATGTTTTTGAGTTATATTCCCAATTAAAAATGCAGAGTGCTAAATCACATTACAAAGACAAATAGGAAAGTACAACTTCATTGTTGAAAACAATTTCCCTCCTATCAATCTGAGGATTCATGCATCAATATTGTAGATGAACTGTTAATTACAAAATCAATTAAAAAATTATTTCTAAAAACAGTCACGCGTCCTGGCTCTCAGGGGGGCAATTTGGGCAGAAGGTCTCATCTCACTAGGACCGCGCCAAATCACAAGTCGTCATCCACAAGTAAGCAAAAGCAATCTGGTTTTTCATTTTTCAGCGCGGCTGAGCCCAGCCTGAGATTGATCGTCACATATGGCCCCAGAAAACAAACTGTCAATACCTTGAATGCTGCAGAATTTGAACAAATAGCCGTCCGCCCATTCAAGCCACTCATTGCATCCCATTTAACAGATTTTATTGACAGTTTCCTTCTTGTAATTAAAGGGAAAACTACTGGCCAGCAACCAAGATAAAGTTCAAAGATAGGGTCAAAACAAAAGCAGATGGAGGGGCACGGTGTGACTGTCAATGGAACATAGCATCAGAGCATGTTATTGACACACAGGTATCTAATGATCGGCACGTCATTAAAGAGGGATCTATCGTGAACTTTATGCAAATGCTAAAAGGGACTTAAGACCACAATAAAGCATTAAGGAGACACAAAAGGAAAAACAACAAAGCACAAACGATTTTTACTTATCTGACAGTATTCACTGCTTCAGCACTTTTAAATTCAAATGCAGAAAAAAATTCTTTCTGAGATTTTTAACCCTTACTGCACAGGTAATAATTTTTGCAGAAGCCTTCTCATAAATGTAAGGGATCCATAAGGTAAGGTATGCTCCTTGTGAGATTAAATAAGAATTTTCCCCCTCCTCCCATATCCTGAATTCACCCTATCAAATAAATCAGTAGCTGCCTTTAGAGAGAATGTATATAGCCTATTCTCATGCATCCTTTCTGTTCGTTTTAATTGCAATGATTAGACTTGCCTGGATTATGGAGTGGATTTAGGAGAACAACATCTATATTCATGTGAAAGGATCTTTGCCTGTAAAATACGCTCCAAATCATACAGTACAGTATTCTCCACTCCCTTAGGAATGTATTCCACAATTACTTAGTTTGAACTGCTTCGTTTGTTGCCTTTTAGACTAAGCTCTGATTAGCAATTTCTTATTCTAAGGCCGTGTTTAAAACAAGCATGCAGAAAGTATTATGGAGAAAAAAAAAAGTGACATATTAAAAATGTAGCAACAGTCATGCCAGTCTGCCAACCTGAATTAGCAAGTGCTATAGCTTTGAGGGTGACAAACTCTTCTTTCTCCAGCTTCATGCTCTTGTATTTCTTTACCAGCTGCAGTATGGCATTGTTAAGGTCAAGAAGGCCTGCCAGTTTGGATTGATCTTCATCCATAATATAATCTTCAGCATATACGAGCTCATCCTCAAAAGAAAGTGACCGGTATACAACACCGAGAATCAAAATCTCCATCCAAGCACTCTGCAGAAGGCTCATCTGGTCAGCTAGAGACAAAGTGGAGAATCCTGAATAGGAATAAAATACAGGAAAAATATTAAGCACATTTGGATTTGTCAGAAATCTGCTCCTCTTTTCGATTTATTTTTATATACATTGTGATAAAACATGTACGTAGTCTATTATTCTCCCTTCTGCTTTTGTGCCTCTCCTCCCCATCCTACTACAGGAAAGTAAATCAATATAAAATCAAACGTTTTCTAATCAACACACAAAGTTATAAACAAGTTGGAATTTGCAGGCTATTTCTGTAAGAATCATATTAATTTGGGGAGTATTGCAGTGACAGTCTACAATTTGCATGATGCCTTCTTTGTTCTGAAATACTCATGCTTAGTTCTAAAACTGTGAAATACATACCGATGCTGTGAAACAGGGATCTGATGACTCTATTCATTATTACCATACACGAAGATAATTTAGGAGAGAAAAAAAAAAACCCACTTTTTTAAAAGGGAAGATTTGATGTTTTAATAGAATTAAGGTGATTATCACAAAGAGGAAAATTCGCTTTGAACTTTAACCTCAGGGGAAAGAGGTAACACCTACCCTCCTCAGAAAAGATGCTAATTACTTCTGTAATGGCTCCCGCCTCTACAACACTTGTTGAAATAACAGGGTGGCATATTAAACTGCCAACTGAATAGCAGTCACGCCATCCTTTTTCTGAGGGCAACCAAAAATTTAATAAACGCCTCTTAATGAATTTAACTTTTGCTTTTTTCCCCCCTGCTGTCTTTCCTAATAGGATCACTAAGGGCAAACATCTTTACTGTCTTACCTTTTCAGACTCTTGTTTACAGTACCTGTTAATTTATTATATCAAACTGCTAATATCCCAATCACATTAGGCGCTACAAAACAATATAGGAGAGGAAGTGATTTTCCTGGCCTGTTGGTTTAATGCAGTAGTTTGCCAGTTGGCACCATCAACCACAAGTACTTAATAAAATCATCAAAGGGGATTAGTCAAGCTTTTCTTAAAGGGTCTTAAGACATGTCTGAGGCTTTCATTTAGTTGTTTATGGAGCTGCTTACATGTCCTTTGACAGGGTTCCCGCTGTAAGAACATTCTTTTTGGCGTTCAATTACACTTAAATGCGTTTTTCTGTTTTGAAAGTCGAGAGTTACAGTCAAGCAGGAATATATCATAAACTAGCAAATCTGCAAGGCATCTACTCCAAACAAGATTTTCTCTATAAGCACTAAGCAGCAAAACTAATACAATAAAAAAGAAAACCCCACATCCAAACCACCAGGCATCCATAAAAAATGAAACATAAAACTGGCTGCATGCTCTCTCATTTTTCTCCCCCTCCTTATTTGTTTTCATTTTCTCTTAGTGTCTTTTGAGTCTTGTGATAGAACTGTAGCTCTCTGCCTTCAAAAAAAACCAACAAAACCTGAGCCAACAACAACAGGAAACCCTTGAAGAGGTGACAATGGAAAATAACACATCCGCGATTAAAATAAATAAGAGGGAAATGGAGAAGAAATAATCATTTGAAAGGTTATAGGGAGGAATTCATGATTTCAATTAGCTTCACCATTTCTGTTCCTTCCCGTCTTTCAAGAACCAGTTTTTCTGCAGTAGCAGATGGACAGAGAATGTAGCCTGCAGCACCGTCCTGTGACAGCCCCATTCTCCCTCCCAGACACTGCTGTTAGTAAATAGATTTACACATTCTCCAATCTCCACACATCTTTCTGCCGAATAATTAAAAGCAGGATGATTAGTTTATTGAGTGGAAGGAGGAACTTTTTTATTGAGGTCCATCCACGATTTTATCAGGGCCAGCACTTTTACGGTTGTCATGAGGGTGCAGGCATCCAATTTTTCTTATCTGCCTGATTAATACAAACGCTGTTTCAGGACGCATTAATTAACAGATACAAATCTACGTTCTCATGGAAGGATCAATACAGAGAAGAAAAGAGGCATCAATGTGAATTTAGTGCTGATGATGGAGAAGGCACTCTATTGACATTTACGTGCATAGAAACTTTAAAGTTGCAGTGGAGCCCTTTTGTCCCTGTGATTTACAAATTAACAATTTTTCAGGTATAACAATGTTTCACACACTTCTGACGAGTTTAATTAAGCAAAAAGCAATAAAATCAGTTTTGATTAAAAAAAGTTTAACCTGCAATTTCTGTCTAATCTTTTTTTATCTGAAAACTCCCAACTTCCTTCTTTTATTTACTTAGCTATTTTAGTACAAGTTTGTTTGTTTAGTACAGGTTTTTTAAAAACAAATAATGCTACGTTTCAGTAACATTTCTTGTGTGCCACAGTCAAAGGAAATTATATATGCCCTGTGAGGGGGAAAAATGCGATGTTGCCTATAATTTATTATACTTCACTTCTAAAAAATCTGCGTTCTGGCGCAGTAAATATACTAATTGTTTTTATAGGACACATAAAAAATCAAAAGAAATTTTTTACATTATAGAAAAATGGGAAAATATAACCACACTGTTCTGCTCTCCAATAAAAAATCAAATAAACATGATTATTTTCTTCCTGATCAAAGTAACTTCCCCTTGAAAGCCTACTCAGTGAAAGCACGTTTTAACTTTTAAAGACAACCCTCATGGGAATGTAAAGCTGCATCAAGTTGTAATGAATCTGTTTTTGCTTTGTTTTCATTTTTCAGAAAATGTGGAAGCATCCAGCATGTCTCTTGTATCACACCAATGCCCTTTTAATAGATGTTCATCAAGTCCCAGTTAAAAGAATAGATTACACAGGCATACGTATTTACATACAGAGATTTATTTTTAATTGTTTGGAGGAGGTTATACTTATTTCATGCCAAACCGTGCTCTGATTCTCTGAGCTTTTGTTGTATGAATCCCCCAGATTAACCACGTTCTGTGACAAGTGGACATGTTCTATTTTAAAATGTAACTACTTTTTAAAAAGTCTCCAAATTAGACAAAATACAATTCCAGCTTTCTGGACCAGTCTTAGCCTTCCCAGTCACAACTGTAAGCTCTTTCCAAACCGCCCTGAGACGCTGCATGACGGTGTGGTTTTGAACTTTGTCGTGCATTGTGTGGCTCCTTAATCCTTAAGAGTCTTGCAGGTCAATGTTTTAAATGTAGAACTGCTAACGGCTTTTTAAAATACAATGTTGTGTACCTTTTTCCCCTTCAGCGTGTACCATATTGGTGACAACTTTGATCGCTTTCCATCTCCCTCCCCAAGTCAACGCCATTTAATGTATCTCAGGCATTTGCTAGCAGAATGACTCTGTACCTTGACCTGCAGTTAAATAGCATGTTTATCTGCAATACAGCGCACTCCAAATAAACCAGATGACAGTTTGCAATAACGTCATTTGGAAGGATTGAAAGGCTTCTCAAGAGTCAGGTACCCCTGAGGTAAGAAGCTTGAAGGAAGCATGTTTTGTGCCAATCCTCCTGCCATCTTCTACTAGACGCTCGTGTGCTTGACAATGATGCCATGGGCACTTGTCAAGATTTTTTTTTTTTCCTTTTGCCTAGCAAACTGATGCTCTTTGCAGTCAACTTACAAAAAAGGCTAAGCATTTGAAAGTGTGAAGGGCAAAAAATATCTGACGGCTAGTCTTCAAAAATACACTTTCATTTCAGAAAGCATAAATGTTTATTTCCTGAGCTGAGTGTTGACAGAAATAGGCTGCAGCGCAGGCATATGAATTTAACCCCTGGTAGGCATTCTTTTCAGCGTGGTTTTTATGTGGCTGAATGCAAGCATTGTAAATCTACAGGGTGTCTCGTAACATCAGTTAACAATAGCATTGATTTGCTGGTTACAGATTTTCTTCCTTCCTTTTTTTCTTTCTTTCTCCTCCTTTCAGGGACGGTAGTGTTTCTTCAGCTAAAAATAGATACTTTTCTACAAACGGCGTATCACACTCAAATTGTAATTATGCCGTAATGACTCACTAAGATCACCGAGTGTGGATTGAGAAAAGGTTGATTGAGCAACCAAACATATGCTTGTTTTTTTTTCCTTTCGCATACCAGTAAACCCAAAGCTCAAAGGAAGCAGAAATAAATAGGTAAAAAGGCCTTAGCATTTTTACTATAGGAACAAGAGGTAGCGAGCTGACCGCTCTCTGCAGCGCTCAGCACTCCAAGCCAGCTCTAAACACAGTTCGCAGTCTCTTAGGCAGGGCTGTTTGAACCACAGATCTTTTCAAATATCAGCACATGCACCACTTGCTCTCTATTTCACATTGCACACAGCTCCATGCTACGCAGGGTAAATCTTTTATATTCCTGAAGACCCTTTCCTCTACTTCATTAAGATGGACTTCATGGACACTAACTCACTAGGGGCTAGAGTGAAGCAGCTGCAGATGGTCAAGTGCCAAAGTAAGATCTGTGCCTTGCACACAGCACTCCGAGAACTACTGGACAAAAAAAGACAGTAGCTGGACTTATCCCTACCAGTATTTGCAGCCTTAAACATTCGATGCGATGCCTAAATCGGGCTACCCTGACTCGAATCCTAGTTTATTTCACTTTGCAGGGAATGAGCTTCCCTTCCTCTCTGTTCCGTGTTTAGAAATCCAAGTCAAACCAGGTACGAAATTGCCGGCAAATCTGGGAGTTGCTCACTTTTTCTGATAATCACCTCCCATTTATCTTACCAGCTGTTTTTGTGATTGTTAGTTTTATGAGTAAAATATTCCTCTTGCTTGCCCTGGTTTGTACTTCAAATATCTTCATTTACATTTTTTATAATCAAAGCTGTGCCTGAAAATGACATGTTCACTAGTGTGTTACAGATTCAATGTATTTACACAGTTGAAATATCAGAGTTGGATTTTTAAATTATTTACACTTAATTTTGATAGATTAACTTCCTTATAAATGTTTTATGGGTACTGATGTTTTCAGTGCAATTTCCTTATTTCAAAAACGATGTATAGTCACCACTGTCAAAAGAACAAACTGATACTGTAAACGCTTTATAAAAAAACTTTTCTTTGAGCCCAGATTACTTTATTTAGAG